AAAACGCTACAGAATATTTACTACTGAATATTAATAAGATATTTTTTTACTAAAATTTTTCTTAAATTCTACTCTACAAAATAGCTATCTTAGATTTTTTTTTTACTTTTTATTTAAAATTTTAAAATAATTAATATTTTTAATAAAATGTAAAAAAATTAATTATTGAGATATAGCTATAGACCTAACGTCTAACTAATATTTAAAAAAAAAATCAGCTAAAAATATTAACTGGATCAAAAGTTATTTAAGTTGTCAGTGAGTGGTGGGCCACCCTGTATTATCTTCTCCATTTTTTATTATATTTTTGAGTTACGACAGAAGATATTAATTTTACTTTTTTTTTTGTGTCTATTACCACTTTTTCTCAGCTTTCACTGAACCGATTTCTTTCAATGATACGTCAAAAGATCAAAAATCGTATATAGTCGAAGACATTACCCTCAAAAATTGAAAAAATTTCTTTCGTTTACCATAAATAAGGAAAATCTCCAAAAAAATTACAAATTTAAAAATTGCTAATTTTCGAAATTTTTTCAATTTTTTTTTCTTAAAACTGCCATAATTTTTTTAAAAATGAACAAATTAATATAATNTTTTAAAACTACCATAATTTTTTTAAAAATGAACAAATTAATATAATTTTCTTATAAATATATATCTTAAATTAAACCTAATGTAATATACTTTATTATGGAACAAAAAAATTTTGGACTTTATTTTATCTTCACGGTGAAAATAGCTATCAAATGATATTTTTGTGTGAAAATTCTCGATTTTATATTTTACATTTTTAACTTTAAAATGTTATAAATTTTTGAAAAATGTATGGATCAATACAATTTTTTAATAATCCCTTTTTCATTCAGGATAATAACAAGAAAATAACAGATCATGTAGCTTTTGGTATAATCCACCAATTTTTTAAAATTAAACATTATCTAAAGATTTGAATAGAAACGTTTTTTTTTTTATAGTGATTTTAAACACTGTCGGATATCATTATAGTTGATTCAACTATGGCACGTCACCACTGTGCCGCGTCCCCCCTATACTGGCTTTTTTTTATATGTAAATATTTATTTTTTACTAATAAGTAATTATCTCAAAAATTGTAGGTAATAGAAAAAATGCAATTGATGATTGAAAATCAGGACAAATAATATGTCAATCCATGAAAGCTTTATCACATTCAGAACAAAAATTGTTTAGAAAAAGCATATTTTTGTCGATGGTGAAAATGGTTTAAAAAATTCAATTTTTGTACAGAAGTTGCTATTTTGAATCCCCCTTTATGAGCAGATAAAGGGTCAGATTTTCAAATATTTATTTCAAATGAAAGAGAAATATTTATTTTTTCAATTTAAAAAAGAATTATTTTGATTTGTTCATTTTTCAATAAGTTCAGATAATTTTTAGAAAAAAAATTTAAAATTTAAACTATTGAATAGTTTTTAAAATTATTCAATAGTCTATTCGAAGAGTTTATGCTAAATATAAACTATTTAATTGTATAAAAAGAAGTCCAATAGTTATTATTCGATATTTTAAAATAATCGAAAATGCCCATCACTAGTTGATGCACACAGTGTCATTCGTTGATCTATGTGCAACAGCGTACAACGTAGATAAGTCCACCACACTACGGTAATGAACTCGTGTACCGGTCTTAATCTGCTCAATTGACGACCTGACAATGGTTTTGGTAACGTAACCGTGAACATACCACTGAACCGGTGCAAATATTGCGGTGAAGTACATTGGCATCGACAGTGTCCTTATTGATGGAATGAATCCGAAAGTGGGCTAGGGAGGAATTCATCCCAGCCCTCCATCCAACAACAGATCCGAACACGACGGAGTTGATAAAACAGATAACAAATTATCTACGTTACAGATTTTATAATCTGCGAGGCAACCGGTAAAACACTTGCAACTATACAAAACTCGATATCTGTATTTTTTAGTTTTACAGGACGATAAATTTTGTCTGATTTATCATCATATAATTCTGTTTTTTTGTTGTGCTGTAATTACTAGAAAAATTATTAGTTATCTATGAAGATAAGATAGTAAATTTAGCAGGTTTTTAAAAAAATACTGTTTATTGTGTTTTGATGATATATTCATTTTGTTCACTATAAATCGTTATGTATTTATTTATTTAAGAGTTAAGACATTTCAGGACGGCAGACACAAAACAAACATCATTGTTTGAACGGAACGCCCGGTTATAATGTGCGGGTTAGTTAACGTCCAATTAGGTTATCTAATTATGCCGGAGAAAGAAATAGGGAGTGGACTGTATATAAGAGGATGGTACTTACACCAAATAAAATAATAAGAATTACAATATAAGTATTTAAGTAATAATATATATTTAAACTATTATAAAATTGTGGATTGGAGGGGGGGGTCACTTAATACTAATACAACACTGGCGCAAAGACAAATAAATAGTAATATATGTAAAAGAAATAAGATAATGACAAGTAATTAATTACTTAGCAATTACTGTAGTCTTGAAAGTTGTACAAATGAACTGATCTGGAATGAATAACCTTTCAACCAAATGGTGGATACAATTCATTAACATCAATGGGATGTAGTTAATCGCAAGGCGATGATATGGCGATGTAGATGAGTACACGCGAATCGCAAGGGCGATTGTCCATATATAAAAATAAATATAGTTTAAAAAAACTAAAAAACACGCTTTTAAAGCACATTGAACTAAAAAGTTGAAAATAATTTTTAAAACAATATTGAACGAAAAGTAGTAGAATTATTGTGATAAAAGCGNTAGCCGTGTTTATGTGGGCGGGCATGGCGGAGGGAACATTATACACGAGGCATATACGGCAGCAGAGGCGTCGGCTGTAGGAATATATAAATGAATATTAACATATACGTATATACGTATAAATATTTATATATATATATATTAATATTAGCAGTAGCGGTAGGAATATAATGATCTTCGCATAATATCGCGGCACTTTTGCTGGCGTCGAAGACGCGATGTCCGGCGTGATCCTCGGGCGTCAATAGGTTAGCAGCGTAGATGACGACGGTGCGCGAGTGCGGATCAGTTTGTTGACGATGTTATTTTAACAATGGGAAGAAGACTACGGTATAGCGGCGGGACGTCGTCGGCCGTGCGGCACTTGCTGGACTTTGCACCGCGGCGTTTACTCAAAATTATACAGAAAAAAATAGTGTTGGCGCCGACTGGTGAGCGGAGTGGGGTGAATGCGTTACAACAGTATAGTCTCAAGGTCATACACGACGGGATACGCGACATAATAACACGTGCCGCGTGGAGTTACAAACGACAAACAACAAACGACAAACGACAAACAACAAACAAACATACAAGTGAAACTAATATAAGCGTGTTAAAAAACTATTATTCACGAGAAGTCTTATGGAACACTTTGACAGTAACAGCACCACATACACTACGACTCAAAGGATTTTTACATCGATCACGCACGTAATTATCCAACGCAATGAATCCGCCACACAACCGGTTGTGGTAGTGCGAGAGACGTTATCAGTCATAGAAATACGATGTAGCAAAAGGCACTCTCGTAATGAGTACCCAACAATCATTACAAAACCAATACCTTCACAGGTATTAGCCATATTTGTAGATATCCTCACTAAAGCTTTTACTGGTTTAATTTATTTTTATATTTTTACTTTTTTATGAAAATCAATCATTCTAATTATAAATTATAAGCTAAAAGAGTTTGAAACAAATTAAAATTTATTTAAATGGAATAATGAAAAACTCTATTGGTTTTATCATATTTCTTAGAATTGGTAACAAATTAAAACTTATATTTTAAAATATATTGGTATTGATTATTTAATTTTTTTGTGCACATAAATAACTGCTTTTCGAGAAAGTGATATTTATGAGATAAAACCGAATATAATTGTTCAGCAGTAATAAAATGTAGTTTTAAACTAAAAATATTGTATGAATAACGCAACGATTTCGTTAGAAAATAAATAACTAGCAAATAATAAAACTGAAACATTTAAGAAAATTAATGTTTAGGTATATTTTCCACCAATATACATAAGCCAAATTAATGATGAATTTCTATTTTTAATATAAATTTTAACACGCAAATTGTTTTTCTAAAAAAATAATTTATTAGGATAAATAATTTTCAAATGTTTTTTGTATCGTACAATCAAATCAGAAATAATTTCCTATTTAAGAAAATTAATGTTTAGGTATTTTGTCGTTAAAAATATATTTAATACATAGTATGTGGTTGAACTCTATCATATATTATGTGTAAAAGTTTTTTGAACCTAACATTATTGTCCTGTCCAAAAATTGCAAGTTTTCAATATTTTTTGAGTATAGAGTGAATTTGAATAATACAATCAAATTTATTCAAAAGTTTAGGACGATCAAATAAGAAGAAGACACTTCTTTTTTTTTAAAATACATGTATAATTTAGTTCTTCAATATCACCCTCTTTAAATTAAGGTCATTATTAACTGCGCCATAAAATATCATCTTGTGGTAAAATAACGATTTTTTTCTTTTAACACTATGAACAAATTTCATATAAATTATAGATATTATTTTATTGGAAATAATTTTAATCATATAATAAATCATGTGTTTTAGTCATTTTTTTTATTTACTTGTAAAAACGACTAATTGCAACTGAGCAAACTATCCATTCTAGTCAATATAAAATATCTCCTAAAAACTTTTAAAAACATAACTACATACTTTAAATTCTTCTAAACAATTGTTTGTTGCTTTCAAAAGTACATTTTTTCGTCGTTCTAGAAATCGCAATGGTAAGTAAAATATATTATAAGTTATAATTTTAAAATTGAATATTTTAATTGATTAATTTTTTTTAATTTGATTTTCAGAAATTCTTTTCTTTAGTTTCTTTATCAACTATGGTATTTATGGTCATCCATAATGGTAATAAACATATAATTTATATACAGAGTGATTTATTTGTCTTTGATACTTCATCGAAAAATAAATATAATATTTAGAATTTAACTTTTTATTTTATTATTTTTTCTCAACCAAACAGTATTTTTTATATTATCATTATTTCATTAACTTATAAAATAGTTATAATAATATGACTAGTTAATTACAACTGTTTGACTATTTTGAACGTCATTAACGATTTAAAGTACTGACTGAAGGTGAGGCATTGGTTATTTTATTTTTATCATTGGACAAAAAGAAAGAAAGTTAGTGTAGGAGGTGTCTATTTTCTGGGATTAACATTTTTGTAGTTGGTAGAATGAAAAGGTAGTTTTATGTTGGTGACTGTCACATCTCGGTCTGTTACTTTTGAGCTAAACTGTTCTGACGGGTGTACAGACTATCCTTTTAGTGATGCTAAAATACTCTAACCTTTAGAAGATCTTTGAGTAAATCATTATTACAACTCTATATTTTCTAGATCATTACTTGACAAAGTGTATAGCCACGTCTGGTAAGTTGAATTTATTAAATATATCATTTTAATATATAATATTAAAAATATATCCTCTGTACTTGTATTGGGTCCTAGTATGTTTATTTTGGGCAGATAAAATTATTATTCTGTTCATTTACTTTTTTAAATTTATTTATAAATATCTATAATTATATTAAAGATATATAAAATCTAGGGCTTAATAAAAAAATAGACATATTTTTAATATTTATTATTTCAAAGGCGTTCCCGAATCTTCCGGTGGTGCTAACAAATGTAAGTAAAATTAATAATAATTATAAAATACACTTCAAAATTAAATTATAAATGAGGCTTTAAATTAAATTATACATATATTTAAAAAAAAAAGGAAGTGTCTTCTTCTTATTTGATCGTCCAAAACTTTTGAATATTTTGAATGTATTATTCAAATTCACTCTATACTCAAAAAATATTGAAAACTTGAAATTATTGAACAGGACAATAATGTTTGGTTCAAAAAACTTTTACACATAATATATGATAGTGTTCAACCACATACTATGTAGATGGATATTCTTTTCATCCTTTAGCGACAAAATACCTAAACATTAATTTTCTTAAATAGGAAAATTATTTCTGATTTGATTATACGATACAAAAAACATTTTAAAATTATTTATCCTAATAATTAATTTTTTAGAAAAACAATTTTCGTGTTATAATTTATATTTAAAATAGAAATTCATCATTAATTTGGTTTATGTCTATTGGTGGCAAAAATATTGTTCATAAGACTATAATTTATTACCTATGAATTAAACCAACCAATCATTGTATATTCTTGCTATTTCTTTTAACGATATGCCAACCACCCATACTTAGAATAAATCAAAAATAATTTTTAGAACGATTTTTTATTTTATATTTTATAATTTTCATAGTTTGTAAGAATTTCTTATTTTCAGTGGAAACTATATTTAACAAAAAAAAAGAAAATATAGTCCTTACCAATTCAATATTTTAACAATTACTATTAAGTATTGTGATTATATTAAAATAAATATTGTTTTATATAAATGTGTTAAATTTCATATTCAACACAAATATCTGAGTATACCAATTAAAAAAATAGGTTGTTTAGAATTTAAAAATTAAAAAAAAAAACTCTAGTTCAATATAATAATTTTTAAAAATTATATCAATTCATTAAAAAGTAATAAATAAGGTAAATTAACTGAAAGTTGCTCAAAAACGTTATTGAATACGCAATCCTATGTAACAATTTTAAGAAATAATATTAAAAAAACATTTTTATAATATTATATATTGTACAACGTTACAAATACATTATTTAAAAATAATTGTATTTGGGATTGTATTAAATGTTTGTTTTAATGCTTCTAATATTGAATCTGGCTGTTATGACTGAAAATATGACTATCAATAGATATATTTTTTATATAGTCAGTTTGTGTGTTTATGAACTCACAACAATTTGCCTTACTACCATTGATATGCTGTTTACTTGCTAATATTGATGTCATAAAAAACCAATTAGCTACTTGTATTTGTAATACATTTTGTATTATACATGTATATTAACTCAAAAATTTGAAACTTTAAATGTTTATATCTAACAAATGAATAAAGTTATACTAAAAATTCAAATGCCATTTACTATTAAATTAAAAACTCCAATATTTTATTAAATTAAAAATATTTGTTTCCATTAAAAAAAACAAAGTTTAAACCCTTACAAGGCATAAAAGGTGAGCTTAAATAGTAATACATAGTTAATAATTACATGGTCCCCATATATGTTTATTTTGGGCAGATAAAATTATTATTCTGTTCATTTACTTTTTTAAATTTATTTATAAATATCTATAATTATATTAAAGATATATATAATCTGGGGCTTAATAAAAAATAGACATATTTTTAATATTAATTATTTTAAAGGCGTTCCCGAATCTTTGGGTGATGCTAACAAGCGTAAGTAAAATTAATAATAATTATCATTATTATGATAATTGTAATATACACTTCAAAATTAAATTATAAATGAGGCTTTGTGTATAAAAAATTTTTAAACTAAATGGCAGTTCAAATTTATTGTTGGGTCACGTTATTTTTTGAACATGACCTTTTTATTTAAGTATAATCAATATTAAAAATACATCCTCTGTACTTGCATTGGGACCTTGTATGTTTATTTAGCGTTGATAAAATTATTACTCTAATAATTTCCTTTTTAAAATTTTTTTGTAAATATCTTTAATAATATTAATGATGTTTATATAATATTTGTATACTGAAGCTTAATATAAAATTATAAACAACAGACATTGTTTTAATATTAATTATTTAGAAGACGAATCTTCCGATGGTGCTGACCAGCGTGAGTAAAATTAATAATAATTATTAGTATTGTTATACTTTATTTTATAAAAACATAATTTACAAAGATTTTCATTTTTCAATTTATCTAGCTATTTTATTCTTTTTATTAATTCTTTATAATTGTTGTTTAAGTTGTGTACCTGTACATGACTTTTTGTGTGATATGTCTATTATTTACTAAAGGGAATTATAAAGAATTAAGTTTCTCATATATAGATGGGTAATTTAATTCAGAATTAAAAAAAAAAAATAAAACGTAAATTAATCTGAAGTTTATCTATACAGGCGATTTATTTATCATATAACCTAATAATAAATTACTTAAAGAATAAGAACTTTTTTTAGAAATGTATAGTTATATATTGTTTTCGAAATTATTAGTTATGTAATACTTTTTATGTTTATAATAATGGATAAATTTATAATACGATTTTAATCTACTAGAACACATTAAAATTAAAAAAATCCTTAATTTCATAAATTTAAAATAAATATCTTAAAATTATGCTACCGTAAAAATAGCATTTTCAACAAACATTTTTTGTAATTAATTTTTTTTTTCAATATTTTACTTATTTTGTTAGTAATCGAGTGGTTAATGATAAACCGATCTTTCTGTAATATTGTTTGACGCACAATAGTGTTGTGCAGTGTAATCTGTGGCATCATTTATGATTATACTAAACTTTTGTCCGGCTCATTATTTCACAAAGCCGTTCACATATCCTCTATAGTAAAAGCGTGCAATTTATTAAAAGTTGTCGTGGAAAACTTATTTAGCTTATCGAACAAAATTATATTTTCATGCTAAAATTTTACTATTTTCATATATTACATTTAAATGACCCAGTGTAGCTTAGTCTAGTTTGAATGAAAGTTGATCACCACTGATTTATAATGAAAATTATGACTGGAGCAAATGCCCAAGTTGAACGCCTCTAGGGCGTAATCATAGTTTTTAATAAGAGTTTTAATAAATAACGCGTTATTCAGATAATTGCAATTAGTTGGAAATGCGTTTTTAAATATGCAAAATAACTAAATTACAAAGACGTTACACAAAAAATAAAGTCGTTAGGGAAATGACTAACGTACTAATGTGTATTACCTAACATTGATTATAATATACATTTTTCTCAACAATATTATTTTATAGAAAAAAACAAATTTCAACTGTACTAAAATTACACGAGTTTTCATTTGATTTTTCAAAGTAAATGCCTTAAAACCCCCACGACAATATTAAAAAATATAAGAGTTTAACAATATGGAATATATTGAGTTAGGTATAATAAAAAATGTTTATGTAAAACACTTTTTATATTTTTAATTATTTCCAAGAAAGTTAATATTATTTTTTTGTACTCTTAAAGCATTCTTAAATATTGACCACTTAATAAGAGTATAAATTTATTTTCTTTTATGTAATTACCAAGATATATTTTTTATTTTATAGTAGAAAAAGGAAAATACACCCCTCGTAAGTATAAATGTTAAATTCATTATCAAACTGATCGTTTAAATTACTTGAATATTTCAAAGAAAGGTTTAAAATATATGTGATCAATAATTAAAAATTAAAAATTATTCTTAAAGTTGTTACTATGAAGTTAAAATCCTTCTCATACATCTAAATTTGAATGACTCTTAGAATACTAACAATTGGTATCGAATTTCACACCTTCGTTTATTATATGAATTTCATAAATTTGTTTTTGTATAGTTTCAACAATCTGTAAAAAATGTAAAGTGGTATATTAATTATTCTTGGTCAACTGACAACGTTCAGGGTCATGCCAAAACAGAATGGAGCGGTGGGAATCGGTCAATTTTGGATTTTCAGTGTCATGACCTACCCTAACCAGTTTTACTGTTGGGGTAGTATGTATGTGCAGTGGTTGTGATGACGGCTATCGTTTTTGTTCTGTTTATGACAACTTTATTTTATTATATTTAATATATTTTAATAGTTGTTGTGTAAATTTCTAACTGTTAATCATGTAACATTTACCCTAAGGATAAGTTACGAAATCCATGGTGGACCCTCCTTGGGGTTTTTCTTTAAGTTAGTTATTATCGAGGTGGACATAATGCCCATGCACTCAGACCTGGTCCATTGTGCGCAATTCTTTAAGTTAATATTGATTTATATAAATTTAGCTTACAACTTTTTTTTTCATTTTTGCCGAAAAATTGAATAAGTTTTACAGGCTAATATTTTTATCGTAATCCACCCAATTATTTACAGAATAAAAATAATTTAAACATTTTTTTTCTGATTATCTTTAGTTACACATTATTCTTAAATTATTAACTATGTAATACTTTTTAAGTTCATCCCTTATGCCTTGTAAGGAGTCAACTTTCTTTCTTATAAGGGAACACATATTTTGAATTTAATAAAATGTTTTAGTTTTTAGTTTAATGGCAAATTAATATTTTAACTTGCTATTAAGTAAATGGCAATTGAATTTTTATTATAACTTTATTCGTTAATTAGATAGAAAATTTTAAAGTTTCAAATTTTTGGGTTAATACACGAGGGTTTATTGTTAATTATGACAATCAATAGATATGCTTTCTGTATTGTCAGTAAATGTATTTCTAAGCTCACAATAATGTAATTTATTACCATTAATAAAAAATGCTGCGTATCTGCAGTCAATCTGCGTATCGAAGTCAATAAAGAATAATAAAACTCTAAATGCTATTTAATATTAAATTAAAAACTCAAACATTTTATTAAATTCAAAATTTATGATTCTGTAGGGATTAACAAAAATGTTAAATAACATGTCACAATGAATGTGTTTATATATGTTTATATGTTTTATCTTAGATGTACACTGCAGTACGATAACACTCTGTGTATTATTTTTAGTATTTTTGTAATAAATATAAACGCCAAAACACTACAATCCTATTTAAAAAACAAAGTTGACACCCTTACAAGATATAAGGTATGAACTTAAAAAATATTACATAGTTAATAATTTAAGTATAATGTGTAACTAAAGATAATCAAAAAAAAAAAAAAAGTTTAAATTATTCTTATTCTGTAAGTAATTGAATGGGTTATGTTAAAAAAAATTAGCCTGTATACAGTTAAATTATAAAATATCATAATAGTATTAATACATTATCAGATTCGCTTCAAAGTTAAAATATATTAAATACATATTCAATGATTTTTCCATGTAAATTTTTCAAATCCATTGTATGAAATATAATAATTTATATTTAATTTAAAGCTAAATGTGGAAGTTGTGGGGAGACAGTAAATGAATCACAAAGAAAAAATTTCTCCTGTGGTCATTTATTATGTAAAAGTTGTGTCAATATATCTCTTGAAAAATATAAGGAAAATTGTCTACTTTGTCAAGAAAATAAAAATAAAAATAATGACATAAGTAAGGAATCGTTCGGAAATAACTCAAATTATTTGTACGGATGTGCAGTACATGATGAATTTGCTTATGCCATAGTTAAAAAGTTCGAACCCTTATTTTCTTCTAATAGTTCTGATCGTGAACACAGTTATATTCGTGAGCTAAAAAAAAGATTTAGTAACAAGTAGTGTAATTTCTAAAAAATATAAAAATACCGTACATAAATTTAACATTGTTATAATTATTTATCCAAATTTTTCCTTGCGTTATTTAAAATAAAAATTTCCATATACGTGAAAATTCAGTAATTTTTTTTAAGAGTGTGAACATTTAAATTAATTTTATTGTGATTATAATTGTCAAATTAGGTGCTTTCAACAATAAAATATTGTTTCATTAATATAATTATTTTTAGAGTATTTAAGAGTATTTATTATTCTAGAACTCTACAATTTTTCCAATTAAAATAATACCAGGGTATGACTGAAAATTTAAAAATTGGTTTAGAAACCTACAACCGATATCCAAATGGTAAATAATTTAAAAAATTGTAACTTTAATTGATATTTCAAACAATTTCTCTTTCTGTGTTTTTGGTACATTAAGGTTTACAATTTTATAAAAAAAAAAATGTTAAATTTTTTTATGTTTTACATAATATAAATTATGTTGTATATGTGTTTCCATATGAAAATAGAATTAAATGTAAGCTGTAAGTTTCAATTTAATTTCTTCAAAAGTTGCAATTTTACATTTTTTCCCCTTTTACGCGAATACAAATTATATGTAGCGAGGTATAATATATAGAAGTAATAAACACTTTTACGATTTAATAACAACTATACTATATTACAACGAACTAACAAATAACAGCGAGAGACGAAGCGCGTTTAAGACAGAGTGCGTAAGTGATTGACTGATCGATTGATTGATTGGAGCGACGATCTTGCCCTTAAATAGTCAGAGGAATCTTCTAGAGGCGGCGGCGGACTTATCTAGAACATTCGACCGCCACACCACCCCCCTACGGAGTGGAATTAGCTAGGGTCAAAAATGTCCGGGAATCTGACTCGGCGGCCTGAGCGAGTTGTTCGTACTGGCTGTGTTGATGGATCGGTATTAGGCGGATGTTTTTGTTTGGACGTATTCGGGGCAGTCGCTGGTGGAGCATGTGCCTGGCTATCGGTTGTGCTTTCGTTCACTATGAGGTAGGCATGTTTTACTCTATCAATCGTCACCGTAACTGGTTGATTTCGAACTTTTATTGTGAACGTTTTGTCATTTCGGGCAATTACTTCGTAGGGACCTTGATATGGCGGTTGAAGTGCTGCTCGGACACCTCCCTCCCTGAGAAATACGTGTGAACAGTCCTTAAGGTCCGCAAAAACAAATGATCGTGGATTTGAGTGGCGAGATGCAGGTACTGGACGGATTTTATTCATAACACTGCGAAGACGATCTAGTAAGCTAGTAGGGTCGTTCGTACTGCTATTATCTTGATTGTCTGTGAAGAAATCACCAGGAAGATTAAGAGGCTCCCCATAAACAAGTTCCGCAGACGTGGCTTTTAAGTCTTCCTTAAACGCAGAACGTATTCCGAGAAGCACGATAGGCAGTGACTCAGTCCACGAGTCTTTTGCGTGGGCCATGATGGCTGCCTTTAGTTGTCGGTGCATTCGTTCGACGAATCCGTTTGCAGCAGGATGCCAACTGGTAGTGGGGCGAAGCGTAAAACCAAAACGTTTTGCTAAAGTTTTTAAAGTAGCTGAAACAAACTGAGTACCACGGTCAGTCGTAACGTATTGAGGTACTCCGAAGCGTGAAATCCAACAATTGAGGAAACCCTTAGTGACATCATCTGCTGTTATACGCTCGAGTGGATACACCTCCGGCCAACGGGTGAAACGGTCGATTACCGTCAGACAGTACCTAAAGGACTGTGATGGCGGCAATGGACCGACGATCTTGCCCTTAAATAGCAGAGGAATCTTCTAGAGGCGGCGGCGGACTTCTCTAGAACATTCGACCGCCACACCACCCCCCTACGGAGTGGAATTAGCTAGGGTCAAAAATGTCCGGGAATCTGACTCGGCGGCCTGAGTATTTTTTAATAATCCCTTTTTCATTCGACATACTTTATCTTAATCAGGATATTAATAAGGAACTAGCAGTTTATGAAGCTTTTGGAATAATCCACCAATTTTTTAAAATTAAACACTATCTAAAGATTTGCATCGAAGCGTTTTTTTTTGATAGTGATTTTAATCACTGTCAGATATCATTATACTTGATCCAACTATGCCACGTCACCACTGTGCCGCGACCCCCCTGTGCTGGGTTTNTATACTTGATCCAACTATGCCACGTCACCACTGTGCCGCGACTCCCCTGTGCTGGGTTTTTTTTTTCTGTGTTTTTGGTACATTAAGGTTTTTAAATAGAATTAAATGTAAGCTGTAAGTTTCAATTTAATTTCTCCAAAAGTTGCAATTTTACACTTTTTCCCCTTTTACACGAATACAAAAGATACATTACAATGTCACTTATTTTACGGTTTTTTTTTAATTCTGCTTAAAGATGACACTTTTTTTTTGTTCCTATCAGAACAAATTCTAGAATGTTTGAAAATTTCGAGAACTATGCGATATGATTCACATAACACTAATTACTACACATTCCTAAAATTAATTTTTATTGACAAATTTAAATAAATATGATCATTGCTATGAATCACCCGAAAAAATATTGTAAAATTTTCATCGTAATAGGATGTAAATTGATTGTTAGATTTTTTAAATATTTTCTTAAGTTTTATAGTTATTTGTTTTTATGGAAACACAAAGAAACGTTTTTTTTAAGACAATCACATTATATACTCTTAGGTGCACATGAGACGGAGTGACATTAACTTTTTTTTTGTAAATAAATACGATAACGTAGTATTTGATAGGATATATCGAATATAAACAACCGAACTATACGATAGTCATTATAATACTACTAGAATAGTAAAGATAATCGATAGTTACCTAATATATTTAATAGTTTTATAAATATTTGATAGTTTATGCTAAAAATAAACTATTCGGTTCAATAATTTAATATATTTGAAAATACTTATCACTAGTATTTGAACGAACCCGGACACATGGCCACCAGACCCTCAATATACAAATTTATTATTAACTCATTTTTGAAAAATTATAATTATATACGAGGTTATATATGAAGAATATGTAAGGATGTAATTATATAAATAAAAAAGGATTTAGAAAGGTGAGTAAACGGTGGCTGAGCACATAAGGGTAATAATAAAATAAACACAAACGTTTATGATAAAATAGTAGATTGATGTCGGGTTTAATAATATTGAGTAAATGATGTAAACTGTTCGCCGACAATAACCAATATAATATTTTTTTCATAGATGCATGATGTATTTACCTTTCATTTGGTTTATTTTTTTATAAATTGGACCCTTTACCTTCCCACAGAGGGGGATTTAAAATGACAACTTTTTCATAAAAAATTGATTTTTTCAACTTGACTAATGTAATATACGTTATCATGAACAAAAAAAAATTCGGACTTTATTTTGTCTTCATGGTAACAACAGTTACCGAATGCTATTCTTGTGTAAAAATTCTGGATTTTATTTCTTACATTTATAACTTTATAATGTTTCAACTTATTGAAAAGTGTATGGATCAACACAATTTTTTTATGAAAAATAATATTTTTATCCCTTTTTCATTCGACATACTTTATCTTAATCACGATATAAATAAGGAAATAGCTCATCATGTAGCTTTTGGAATAATCCATCAATTTTTTAAAATTAAACACTATCTAAAGATTTGCATCGGACGTTTTTTATGAAAGTGATTTTAATCACTGTCCGATAGTTTGACATTTAATTATTTAAAATCTTATCATTATTTTTATATCTACGTCTGGAATGTAATATTAGTGGTTAGTGATGAGCAAAACAAGAACAAGACCAAGACTGTCAAAGTCTTGGTCTTGGTCTTGTTCTTGCAAGTCTGGTCTTGGTCTCGTAGAAATGCAAGACCAAGCCAAGACCGCAAGAACAAGAGTAATTTTGCTCATCACTATTAGTGGTATTTTTCAATTAGTGAAAAATTTTGTTTAAATTATAATTTTAATTAAATTACTTTTAAGTTAAAATACGTTTGAGTGCTGTTTTTTTCTACTAGAATATATTATTATTCATTTTTTTAATTAAACTTTATAAAAATGTCCATTATAACTTGATATTCTTATTGTATTTGATACTTCTATTTTATAACTATATTATTCGAAAAGTGTAAATAAAAATAAATACTGTAAACTTAAGTGTAAATTCATTATTAAAAAATCATGACTTTTGGTTTAAAAATATTAATTTGGACACATTAGTTAATCAAATCAGTCGTTTGAGGAACCCCTCTAGTCCAAAAGTAAAAGTTATACAATACAGACAAAAAGGTCATACTTAAATTACTTATATAATAATCAAATGGAAAAAAAAAAATCCTTGATGATAATTATTGGAAGACTATTTACAGCTATAATGAATTAACTCAATAAACATCAATTATAAGTGACTTAAAAAACATCCATTAAAATGTGTAAGTACATCGTAGAATTGACGATAATTACAGAATGCTTGATGATTCTGACGTGATAAAATTAAAACTGATAGAATGTAATATTTCTTTATATACAGACAATAAGTTTCTCTTAATAACTAAAAGATAATTTAAGGAACAATCGTTAAAATGATACAAATTTAACAAATTTTCTCAAGTATATCTGTATTTATTTTATGGAGTTAAGCTGTTTCTATAGTTACACTATCGTTTACAAGATTTCATATGGTCTGTACTCAGACCATATAAAATTATTACTACACGAGATTAGTAAATTCCTTATTCAACTTATAATCGATAGTCTTAGGAGAATAATTCTTATTAATAGAATAGAATGTAATATTATATTATATATAATATTATATAGAACATAATTATTATATTTTTGTAAATATTAATAACGCCACTTAGATTTGAAATCATTAAATTATAGAATCATAAAATAATAGTTGTCTACGATTTTAAAAACTCTTACATTAAAAAGATCAGTGTTCTAATGTTTTCGATAAATAAAATCAAAATAACACTTGGTTGCTAAATGGGTCATTTGACAAAACCCTTTAGCACAAAAATAAAAT